CAGCGTGCGGGGCGCCTGACCTGCAGGGCGGGCAGGTACTTGGGCAGCTCCTGCTTGAGCTCGATGGGCGACAGGGCTGGGGATTCGGGCACGAACTCGCCTTCGGTCAGGGCGGTGCTGTGGGGGGTGCCCTCGCCCACCTCTTCCTCCCCTTCTTCGCTGTCCGCGGAATCTCGGTCGAATCTTGACTCTGGAACTTCCAAGTTTTAACCAATCATGGGACTGGGAATGGGCCACTGTCACAAGCCCCTTCCTGGTCTGGGAACACCAAGAAGCCACACAGCAGCACCCCAGGGTGCCTGCACACGAGCTGCTCCCCTGGACAGAGGGCACCTGGGCCTTGGGGCCCGCCAGCCGGGCCACGGCCACAGCCACTGTGAGCCACTGACCAGATGCTGAGCTCTGAGGAGGCAGCCCTGGAACTCACAGGCCCAAGGGCTCAGCGTAGCTGCCTGTGGCCACGCCGGCCCGCGTGGCCTGTACCCACCGGCCCCGGACCCGAGCTGTTCACCTCGCTCCCCAGCGGCACTGAGGCCGGCACTCGGCTAGCACTGTCCCTGCAGGCAGGCGGTGCTGCGTGGGCCCCGGTCTCAGCAGGCAGCCCAGGAACGCCCTGTGGCTTCGGGGCCCGGCACGCCGGGGAGAACGGTTTTGAATACGTTGCCACAGTCATGCTCACGACTTTTGAGAAGTCCTCACTGCACTTAGGGACGGATGAGGAAGAGAAGCGATGCCAGGGAGGCCTCTTACCAACGAGGATGTGGTTCTCAGCCTCTCGCTCTTCGTCGTCACTCATTTCTTCCTCACTCACCTCCTCTGCAAGAGAGCAGCGTCCACCCAGTGTCCCCAGCCCGGGAGCGCCCCCCGCAGGCTCTGGGTCTGCTCCTTCCAGGGGCCTCGCGTTAGTCCCAGACAACAAGACGTTTTCCATTTGGAAGTTTTTAAAAAAATCAGACTCTGCCCGGTGGATAGAGCATCGGCCTGTGGACTGCAGAGTCCTGGGTTCGATTCTGGTCAAGGCACGTAAATTGGTTTCAGGCTGCTCCCCGGCCCAGAGCAGCATGCAGGGGGCAACCAATCGGTGTGTTTCTCTCACATCAATGTTTCTCTGTCATTCTCTCTCTTCCACACTCTCCCTAAAAATCAATGGGAAAATATCCTTGGGTGAGGATTAACAAAAAAATAAAACGAAAGTTTAAAAAACAAATTAGACTTCTAATTATCTTTCTGTCATTCCCAGGACTCTATCCAAATACACAATTGTGTGCCCTGGCCGGGTGGTCAGTGGTTAGAGCACTGTCCCCATACCCCAAGGTTGCAGGCTTGAACCCCAGTCAAGGCACATGCAAGAATAAGCATAAATAAGAGGAACAAGTCGATGTTTCCTTCTCAAATGAATAATAAGTAAATCCCATCTAATAACAGCCTAATATGCAAATTGACCGAACAGTGGAAAGACAGGTGGAACAACCGGTCGCTAAGACCCACACTGACCACCAGGGGGCAGACGCTCAACGCAGGAGCTGCCCCCAGCCTGCAGGCCCCAGGCCATCCAAGGCAGGTGCCAGTGATGCCCCCCACCCCAACCTCCCTCCCATCACCCTGATGGCCCTGATGGGCCCTGATCGCCGGCCAGGCCTAGGGACCTACCCATGCACGAATTTCATGTTAGGGGCCTCTAGCAAATACGTAAAATGGGTTACAAAAACCACACACGTGCCCTGTGCTCTCACCTGCCGACTGTCCAGACGCATCCTCAGAGTTGCTCCCGGTCTCCTCCTCTTCCTCTTCCTCCTCCTCTTCCTCCTCCTCCTCCTCCGATTCTTCACTGCTGCTCCCCTCCTCCTCCTCCTCCTCCTCCTCTTCCTCCTCCTCAGAGCCTGACCCGGATTCCGCTGTAGGCAGCAAACAGCAGGAGTGACCCTGCGGCCCTCCTGAGCAGCAGGGCATCTGGGCTCGGCCGGGAGCGCGGCTACCTGAGGAGGACTCGGCCGAGCTGGTCTTCCGCTCGTTGTCGCTGATGTCTTGTAGGTCAGACAGCAGGTCTCTCTCTTCCATCTTCTCTTCTTTCACTGATGAAGCAAACCACCAAAGGTGAGTGCAGGGAAACACTCTGTAAACCAAGGCCGACACCAGAGGCACCAGAGGCACTGCCGGCCTCACCTGGCTTCCGGCCGTCTCCCAGCTCAAACCGCTCCCGCGGAGGCCGGGGCGGGCTGCGGCTCCAGTGGCTGGCCTTCGCTTTATCGCCGTAGTCCTCTCGCATGGCTCGGTGATGCGCAGAAACTGGCAGCCAGCACCGAACAGGAGACCACGTTGGCAGCAGCCTCTTCCCACCAGGGCCACCCCCCACCCATCACCCCGCTCCCTTGCTGAGGAGATGGCCCACGTGTGCGCAGGGCGGACGTGACCTCTGGACACACACATGCTAATGGCAGCCGGACAGAGGCTAGACGCCAAGGGAAGAAGCTCCGACCTGGGGGCCAGGAGCCGACCCCGAGGATCCAGGTGGCCCCCCAGACCCACCAGGAAGGGCCGGGAATGACCCTTCAGGCCTGTGCTCCCACCTGGCCGAGGGGCACCAGACACGGATACACTGTCAAGCGCCAGGCGAGCGGTGGCCCCTGGGGTGCAGCCCCACCCACTGCCGACGGGCTCCCCTCTGCCCGCCGCCCGGGCCTCTGGAGCACCCCTCCCCCCAGCGCACCTTCCCTGCGGGCCTCCCGCTCCTTGCGCCGCTCCTCTGCGCGCCGCTCCCGCTCCTTCTGCTCCCGCTGCTCCTTCTGCTGCTCCCGCAGCTTGCGCTCCCGCTCCCGCTTCCTCTCCAGCTGCTCCAGGCGGTCCCTGCAACAAGCACATGCCAGCTCCTCCCCAGAAAGGTGCTTTCTACCCCCCGCCCATGCTCTCGCTCAGATTTGTAAGTTGTTCCATCTGTGGGGAGCGTCTTAAAGGCAGAACGTGTGCGCAAGCACGTCCGGAGGAGGGGCACCCCAACAGCACAGCTGGAGGAAGAGCTGGGACACGGAGGCAGGCCTGCTAGGAACAAACCCGCTGGTTCTGGAATGTCCCACGTTCCCGGTCACCAGGTCTAAGATGCCCCAGGACTCTCCCAAGCATGTGTCACAGCCCTGGCTACATCCACCTGCACACGGGGCGTGTCTACCGGGTGACGGTGGGAGCTGGGGGAAAGCCGCTTCCAGGCGAGGTGCCATTCGGGCACAGGAAACACGTGTGGTGGCTGCACCATAAGGCGGCCAGAGAGTGAGCGGTGATCACAGGCGACTCCCACAGCTCTCGTTAAGTCCACACACAACCTAAAAAGCTAGCTCATCTTTATAAAAAAGTACCATCAGACGCCCACAAAAATGAGCATAAGCAAAACACGGCGAGAACCAGTCCAGGCCCGCGGCCGGCACCACCCGGGCGGCTGGACAAAGGGCCCCGGACTCCAGGTGCCGTTCTGTAGCCGCCTGGCCCAGCCTAGTTCAAGGTAAGGCTGAGGTATAATTTACACGCAACATTCAGCACTGAACCCACTTTTTCATCCACTTATGAAACCGTGCAGCCATCAGCAGTCAGTGCCAAAACCTCTGTCCGCCTGCCCGTGCCAGGCCCACGGCGCGGATCTGCTCGGACCTCCCGGACGTTCCTCTGCTGCTGCTGCCGGGGCTGCCTGCGTTCCTCTTTCCTGGTGTTTTGAGGCGGACGCGTGTGGGGCTGGCCGGACACCTGCCTTTTCTGAAGTCAGTGCTCCAGCCAAGGCTTGCCCTCGAGGCAGCGCTAGCGGCACCCTGGGTTCTGAACTGGTTTTTGTTTTCACTCAGAACAGTTTCTATTTTTTTATATAATTTCTTCTTCGGGCCACAGGTTACTCAGAAATGGCTGTTGGGTTTCCAGACGTTTGGGGGTTTCCCTTTGTTGCCGACTTCCACCTTAATTCTTGCGTGGTGAGAGGGCACGCTAGGTGTGCTTTCAATTCTCTCAAGTCCCAAGTCTGCTGTATAGCCTCGCGTACAGCCTGCTGGGAGCTGTCCCAGGAGCTCCTGCAGTGAGTGTGCCCTGCAGCGGCAGGGGGAGGCCGAGCCCGCGGGAGAGGGGTGGTTGGTGTTATTTTCCAGGACGTCTATGACCTGGTTGATTTTCTGTCCTACGACGAGCAGAGACATTTCCAACGGGGACCAGCTCTTCTTGGCTTGTGCACCTTGGGCTCTCGCAGGTGCAGAGCTTGACCGCTGTCCCACCTCTGCCCTGATGTGTGCGTGCAGCTTGCTGTTCTGAAGGCCTCTGTTCCGTCACTGGGAAGCCACTCCGGCCCTCCGTGGTGCTGTCTGCACGGTGTGCCTCTCACCAGCCTTTTCTGGCTCTAAGGTGTTCCCCGCACAGGCAGCGTACAGCTGGGTCTTCCTTTTCTGACAGTCGCGCGGCTGTCTGGGGCAGAGGCCACGTCCCGTCAATGTAACTGTGGGCAGGGCCGGGCTTCTGCCTTTGCTCCTTGTTTCCTCTTCTTCCGGTTCCTCTGCTCCTGACTCGGGCTTAAGCGCCTCAGCGCCACCGTGCTCCTGCGCCCTCCTCGGGTCTGTGCCGGGGCTCTCGGGTGCGGCTCACGAGATCAACACCAAGTCCACTCCCGTGAGACAGGGCAACGGCTCCAGGCCCCTCCCTGCTCCTGTGCAGCCTCCGCGTGTTCCATGCTGCACGAGTGTCTGCACAATTGCTGTTCTGCAATCCCGTGTCTTCTGCAGAACAGACGTGAGGAGGAACACACCCGTTCCTTTACGTTAACACTTTCACCGTTCCCAGCGCTGGTCTTTTCTTCCTGCGGATTTGCTGCCAAATGGAGTCATTTCCATTCGGCTGAAGGACGTGGAGTAACTCCAGGTCCTGCTCACCCAGTCCACGTGCACCCGAGAGCCGTCTGCGGGACGCAGTCCTCGTGGGTAGGACAGCTTCTCAGTGTGAACACGCGATCCTGCCTCTGGTCTCCCGCGCCGGCAGCCACCCGGGACCGCAGCTCCTCTTCTGTGGAGACAGTGTCTCTACTGCTGCCTCTCGCCAGACGGACCCCGTCTTTCTGTACTTGGGGGTTCACTGTCTTTTTGGAAATCTCGACGATTCTCATCAGACTTGGGAAGTCTCACTCCGTGGCCTCCGCTGCCTGGACGGCGTCACCAGGAACGTCCTGCAGTTGCGGAGGCTCTGCCCTCCGAGCAGCTGCCCGCCATCCGCCTCCCTCATGGCTTCCTCTCTTCTGAAGCCACGAAGCTGCATCTGGACAGTTTCTACTGATGCTTTTCTTCCTTAACAGCAGTCACGCTTTCCGATTTCCTCGTACATCTCAAAACGTTCTGGTGAAAGTGGACATTTGAGATAATGTTGTAGCAACTCTGGATTCTAACGTGTCCTCTCAGGTGTCGCTGTTTGTTTGAATCTGTGAACTCGGTCTCCCGTGCAGTGTCGCTACTGCTGTTGTCCATGTTCCTTTTATTCTCCAGCCTGGCTCCAGTAGGGTGTGCACAGCTGTCCGATCAGCCCACACGGGACAGTCAGCACAGGTATGGCAAGCACGGATGTTTCACATGCTACCCACGCAGCAGACACGGTGAGGGATGTGCTCGCCTCTCAGTGGCCTCAGCTTCCCCCTCCACCAAGGCTCTTCTCACACACCGCCCTTAGGTGCCTGCTCCATGCAGCCCGGGCTGCGGGATGGGAGCCATCTACCTGCTTCCTGGCCCCACCGCAGGCCACCTCCCAGGCTTTCTCTGGAAATGACCTCAACACAGAGTGGCCCTAGTTTACACCCACATCTACTGTGCTGTGGCCAGGTCACGCCCCACCTGGCACAAGTCTGTTCTAGATGCCTTTTCAGGGCTTTGGTGGGACGCCGACCGTCACAAGCACCGAGAGCCCCTCACAAGCACGCCCGCTACCTCTCTCTCCTGGAGTGCTCCCTGGCCATCTCCCGCCTCTTCTGCCTCTCCCACTCCCGGCGCGCCTTGTCCTGCTCCTCTCGGTGCCGCTTCCGCCGCTCGTGCTCTCGCTCCTTCTCCTTCACTCTGGCGTGCTTGCCTGCGAGAGAGAGGGAGAGGGAGAGAGAGGGAGAGGGAGAGAGAGAGAGAGAGAGAGAGAGAGAGAGACATCAATAATGAGAGAATCATTGATCGGCTGCCTCCTGCATGCCCCACCTTGCGGGTGGAGCCCGCAACCCAGGCAGGTTCCTGGATCCGAATGAGAGAGAGAGAGAGAGAGAGAGAGGTGTCACGTGAAGAAACATACCTTGCTAACACTTATGTGGAAATATAAAGCGAAGAAAAAATAAACAACTGGGATGACTTAATACAGTGGAACCTCGCTTCCGGAACTTTTCATTCATTCGTTCTGGAAGGCTGCTTGAAAACCCAATCGTTTTCCCCATTAGGAATCATGTCATCAATTCGTTCCAGACCCCCATGGTTTTTGTTTTCATCTTTCTTATATACAGCACATGTCTATTATACTGTTTAATCTATAAAAAGAAACACTAAAAACAAGGATGTGAAATGTAAATGAAAATTTAACAAAAAGGAAAGGAAATGTACAGTAAAAAAATTAACAATTATAAGCAGCAACATAAGCAAAAAGCCAGAAAAACGTCCAAGAACAACATCCTGAGACGACAGCAGTGTTAAACTGACCCATATTCACTTTGTCACCTGAGAGATGCAGGACTGATCACACAGGTTCAGCATGAAGGGCTGTCAGGTTGAGAAGCAAATTATTCGAGATGAGACATCGGACAAACGAGGTTCCACTGTATTCTTAACATTTTCTGTGTTGAATAAACTACTGGACTGCATATATTTCCACAATTTAAGAAGTCACCACCCATAAAGCACAGAGGACGAAGCTTGGCTCTAAGTGAGCGTCTACGAGCCACACGACGACGCTCATCGCCTGCGTGTGAACTGGAGCGCCTGCCTCACGCCGGGCGGCAGCTCCTGCTGATGGTGGGAGCAAAGCCTCTGCTCGGGCTTTTTTAGCTTCAGCAACTCAGCACTGAGCACTGAGCACCTCAGCACTGAGCACTGAGCACCTCAGCACTGAGCACTGAGCACTGAGCAGTGTGCGGCTCCCCTACGCTGTGAAGCTTATACGTAAGCCACCACAAAACGTCATGTCAGGAAAAAGAACGGCCAAAGGAAAATGAAGCAGCTTTTCAGAATGATTTACAATAAATTTATGATTTAGCTGCAATTTCACTTTCTCTCCGAATCTCTCCAGTTTTCTGAAGGCAGGAGGCTGTGAACTAGGAAACAGACCACACTTGAACACGACACAAAAGAAAAATGCTCTGTACCCCCTTCTGCTGAATGACTACGATGCCTACGTTTCTCTTTTCTCTTCTCATCTTTCCTGTGATGAGCTTTTTCCTTCCGTGACATTTGCTGGGGCGGTTTGATGGCCAAAGAGTCATCTTCCTCTCCTCTGAAATGAGAGACGAGGCCACATCACACCGGCAGGTCACGGAGCACCGGGAGTGAGGGCGTGTCTCCAACAGAAGGCAGAACGCAGGTTATCAACACAATGGAATCGGAACCATCGTTCAAAAATTATGTTAATGATGAAACTTAGCCAAGACTGTAAACTAAATGGACTCATACGAAAAGTGCGAGAAATCACTGTGGCATAAGGAACAAAAGTGCCTGAGGAAACGTTAGGGGGTGATGGACAGGTTCCTTATCTTGAAATAGTTTCCCATGCGTGTAGGACGGTCTCACTGCGTGTAGGACGGTCTCACTGCGTGTAGGACTGTGTCACTGCGTGTAGGACTGTGTCACTGCGTGTAGGACGGTCACACTGCGTGTAGGGCTGTGTCACTGCGTGTAGGACGGTGTCACTGCGTGTAGGACTGTGTCACGGCGTGTAGGACGGTCACACTGCGTGTAGGGCTGTGTCACTGCGTGTAAGACGGTGTCACTGCGCGTAGGACTGTGTCACGGCGTGTAGGACGGTCACACTGCGTGTAGGGCTGTGTCACTGCGTGTAAGACGGTGTCACTGCGCGTAGGACTGTGTCACGGCGTGTAGGACGGTCACACTGCGTGTAGGGCTGTGTCACTGCGTGTAGGACGGTGTCACTGCGTGTAGGACTGTGTCACGGCGTGTAGGACGGTCACACTGCGTGTAGGGCTGTGTCACTGCGTGTAGGACCGTCACACTGCGTGTAGGACTGTCACACTGCGCGTTTTAAACATGTGCAGTTTATTGTCATTTATACCCCAATAAAGCTGTGTTTAAAAAAGGCCCCACCGTTTTAATCAAACCCAAAGTCAGTTAACAGTATCTTCAACCGCCTATCTGACCACCACCTTGGGAGCGTCACAGCCTGTGCGGTTCTGCCTTCTCTTCGGGTCAGGTTGCCTTTAGTGAGAGAGGGATCCGAGGACACAAGTGGAGGCTGGACAGGGAGCAGCGGGACACGGACCGGAGCCGCTGCTCGGCCTGAGTGCAGGGCCGACTGAGGCATCAGAGAGGAAAGTCTCCCCAAAAGAAGCGGGGCCAAGCGGACACCACGCTGGAGCCGTTTCCATGGTGAACCCCCGGACCGCCGGCTGGGCCCCGCGTCCCTGTTCAGCGCCGGGCGCCTGCGCTCACCGGTCCTCCATGGAGTCCTCCCTCCTGTAGGGCGAGTTCCGGATGGTGATCTCCATGCGGTGGTCCCTCAGCTCCCCCTCCTCCAGGGAATCCCGCTTGGAGTCGCGGTCATCAGACTGCGGAGCAAGGAGAGCGCCCCCCTCAGGCAAGAGCAGCCCAGACCCAACCCCCCACACGCTGAGCGAGCTTCACTTAGGACCATCACTAAGGCTTTACACTCAAAACGCAGAAAGACTTCCATTCAAGCCCCCAGACACCCAAACCACGACTCTAACGCAGAGCCGGGGGAAGCTAAACCCGCGCATGTGACGGGCATCGGCCTCCGCCACGGACCTGACTGCTCAGGCGCCAACCGAGCCTCACTGCGGCCCGGGGGCTGAGACCCATCTCACCGGAGAGCCCCGATCGCACCCCCGATGCCCCCTCCTCGCACCCCCGATGCCCCCTCCGAATCCGGAGGGTCAGTGAATGTTGTTATGCAAACCAGGGAAGCCGCCAAGCACGGGTAGCGGGGGCCAGGCAACCCCCCGCCCCCGCCCTGATGCCCGGGGAGGGTCAGAGAGCCCATCAACAGCGAGGAAAGCCAGGCGCCTCGCCCTGGGCTGCGGGGCGAGCTGCCCCCGCGGGCGCCGGGGTCTGAGCGCGGTGAGCGGAGGAGACGGGGCTCACCTGCGACATTCGGAGGAACAAAGAACGTCGCCCAGGAGCGCTGCTCTAATGGAAAAACGAGGGCAGAGAATTAAATCTCCGTGAGAACCGACTGAGAGCGCGGCTTACGTTTTTCAGGCGCTTGATCTCCGCCTTCTCCTCCTGCTCCTTCCGGCGCTTCTTCTCCTGGAGGATCTCATCCAAGGTCTTCACTTTCCAGGAGTCCTTTTCATCACCCATTGGAGGAGGCTCTGCGGGGGGCGGGCCGGCAGCGCGGGC